TGAGTTTACGTATCTATCTATATAACAAAAAAATACAATGTGTAACCGTAACGTTTAGACTAGCATGTATAAATAGTGTGAATTGTGTAACTTGAAATCCCATGCCATATAATTAAAACCCGTGACCTGCTCCGCTGATCTTAATCAGAATTTTTTTTTGATTATTAATTTTATTTTTTTTTAAATTTTTCATCTTTTTTCTCGTTCTTTTCCCATTTAAGTTTAATTTTTATTCAAACTGAAAAATTATTTTTAAATAATCCTATTGTTTTGGTCTTTTAAGACCGATTTTTTTTATATTAATTTTTTTTCGATCTTTTTTTTTAGACCGTATTATTTTTTTTAAAAAAAATTTTTTTTCACTCTTTTTGGACCGAATTATCGTCCTTTTTTTCAGAATTTTTTTCGATACTTATTTTTTTTTCGGATTCCTTTTTTTTTCGGAAATTTCCCTTTTTTTTAAACTGATTTCTTTTTTTATCCTTTTTCATTCCCCAATTTTTTTTTAATTTTTAAATTTATTAAATAAAGTAATAAAATAAGACAATTTTGTTCCTAACAATTCTATGACAACTTTTTATTAATTTCTTCGATTTTATGAATAGTAATATAGTAATAAACTACCTTTAAAAGTAAATATTGTAATTTATAGAAGGTATAAAGTGTTGTGAATTTTATCAATTAATAAAGCCAACCTCTTTAAAGGTAGTAAATGAAAAGTTTTCCTAAAGACTAATAAATATTAAACCAAAAAAAACTTTACAGAAAAATTGCTGGCTGGTTCTTGTTAAATGTGTATGTATATTTTTATTAAATTATTAAATTTTATATTTAAGGGTATGCGATAATTTTTTATAGTAATAGATGTTGCAATATAACTATAATAACTACTAGTATTATGTAACCTCCTTAACCTCTCAATAAATAGATGATTCGTGATATCTGGATAACAATAGCAAGAATGTTGACCGATTCTCTTCATAAAATAGGACTTTGAGCACGCATTGAGATATTGAGTTGATGGTATGTTATTAACATTATAAATATCTTTCGCTTTGTCAATAATGATAATAAAAGAAACATCGGCTGCTTTATCTTCTGATAATTTCCAAGGTGGACTAGCTCGATTACAAATCCATGCTAGCAAATCCATACCGCCCATCTCGTCAATCAGTGGCCGAACTACCCAAAATACAAACGTTAAACAAATCATAGTCACTAATATAGTAAAATTATATCACGTTAAAATTTATAGTTATGGAATATCCGAATATTTATCAGATTTTAATAATAAATTTAGAAAATAAAATAAATAAAATAGGTCAATTAAAAAAGATCAATTAAAAAATTAAAGTTATATGTTATCTAAATTTTTTGTAAATTTCTTTTTTAAATAGTCAGTCAGAATTGGCGGCAAAGGTGCTTTTAGTAGGTTATTTTGGTAGAAATAGAACAAATTGTTCGATTAATCATTGATCATTATATTTAAAAATAAAAATAAACCTTCTATATATTTGTAATTTGATTCGCAAAAAAATTACAAAAAATTAAATTTGATTTCATCATAAAATCATAATGAACATAATTACAAAAATACCTGTTGAGATTAATTGTGTAAATTCTTCTCTTTTATTATCCTAAAAAAAAGAATAATTGATTTTTCAATTGCAAAAAAATTCATTGATTTTCCATCACATTATTTGATACAGTTTTAGGATCGAGATGGATTCAGAAAATCAAGTTAAAACTTAAAACAGGTTTTCAGAAATTTATTTCAATTTTTGAGTTATGGGATTGGTAATCTCGTGACCTAATAATCTAGTTAATGATACTACCCATGTATAATCTTGGTCAAAATAATTTTTTTAATTTTAAAAGTAATTAATGCAAAACTTAAAATTCGATAATTTAAATAATGAATGAATAATAAATTGATGGCATAGTAAATTATTTTCAAATCCTGTTTCTTAAAACAAGTGTATATTAGGGTTACTTCATTGGTTATGGTGAAGATGTGGTATTAAGACTTTTGTTTATTTTCAAACTTCAGATATGTTCTCTATAATATAATTAATAAAGTATTACGTTTTACCACAAAAAAAATAAAAAAGGTACAAAATCATTTTTCTTTTTCGTGAAACAGTTTTTCATCACACTCAAATCCTATAAAATACTTCTCAGGTTACACACTAATTCAAGTAAAGTGAACGTTGTATTCAACTCTATCTACTGTCTTTTATAATTCTCAATTTTACTAATTATTTATTTTATAATTTGCTTTTTAGATTACATAATGAACTGAAATTGTGATGTATTATGAAATGGATATTTATAAGAGTTTTTTTTATGCAATAGAAATAAGGGAGTACTTGTGTAATAACAACAAGTTGAAATTTTTTTTTCCTTTTTAAAAAATCACTTTCATTTTTAGGTATTGGCTTCCTTTGGATCAGTAAGTTTCATTTTGAAACTTATTTGTTTTTTTTAAAAAAAAATTGTTAAAATAAAATAGCTTTTTCTAATATTTCTTTTCTCTTTTTTTTAAAAAAATTTAATTACGTTACATTTACGACATGAGCTTTCTAACGATAATTAATTAACGTCAACCTATAGTATAATTTAATAATTAACGATTTATAATGTGTAACACATACTTTTCAACAATAACGTATTAATCCCGACGACGTCAAACGAAAACGCTCACATTTTGTGGCACGACCACAGGCTCTCGAAAACTGGATAGCTTGGACGAACAAACTTACTCATCTCTTTGACAGACAGACCATAGCTTCGCTTCTTCCTGCTGCGCATTACGCCAATTTTATTGATCTACCACAAATCGACACAGCACCAATTGAATTGCACACTGAGCACACTGACATCATCTAAGAGGAAAAAAATTTATACAAAGAACGGAAGCTTCCAGAACTTTTCTGCAAACACCCACGTGATAAAAAACACAAGAAATACAATGAAGATCTCATCACTATACGACACTTGCTTCGACAACTTCTCTTGAGACGTCGAATATAACTACAACCCTACCACGGAGTCACTACAGAACACCGGTGGCTCTCCTATTATTCCCTATTTATATTTCTGGCTCTTTGTGGTGTTAGTTAGTGGGCTTTTTGAAGTCTTTATAATCTTCACAAAAAGAGTAAAAGAGGAAAATAGGGAAACGGACGAAAAGAACATTAACAATAAAAGAGCCGCTAAGAATGTAATGGAAAAAGAATATAAAAAGAGATGGAGAATCGAGGACAAGGAATAGGTTGAGTAAAGTGCGTTAGTGACGTGATTTCACGTAGAAAATTTTTCCAACATAGGATTATTATTATCTTTTTATTTGAATGTAGTGTTATTTTTTTTATCTATAATTTTTTGTAATTTTAATCATACATCATCTATTTAGTAGGGTTCGTTATGTAGTAGGAAATGGTACTACAACGTTACTATATGAGGTAACGGTTTTGGTATGGAGGGAGACAAAGGTTTTGTCAAACTCAAGGTATGCTTTATAGATTTTGTATGTTCTCTATCATATAAAAAATAAAGTGTCATTTACCAAAAAAAAAAAAAAAAAATTGGTNAAAAAAAAAAACAAATATAAACTGTGATTTTTATTTATTTATTACAAATATTTTGTGGTTTTTAAAATAATTTCTCAAAATAGAATTTTTTTTCTTCACGCTAAATCCGCTATTATATTGACCTTTTATTTTCAAACAAAAAATCATTTTTTTTTTAAAAAATGAAAATGATGAAACTTTTATCCTAAAGTGCGTAGCGTAAAAACGAATAATCCACATTCACCAAAATCTTTTTTTTTTTTTAAAAAAAAGAATATTTTAATTAATATAAGTTTCTTCTTTAAGTTAGAGTTTTTGAGTTGAATAAATAAAATATACAAATCTGAAAAAAAAATTTCTCTTGAAAAAAAACATTTGTCAAGAATAAAAATAGGTTCTAAACCAAATCATTAATAACATGATTCTTTCTTATAACTTTAGTTCATAAATTTACTATAGCCAGATTAAGATAAAATATTCTGCTTCTTTAAATTTATTTGTCATAAGGAGGAGTTCTATTAATATTTGAAATGAATAACATAAAGTTCATGAAGTTTTTTATTTGTTATTAAATTTATTGCGCCACATGGACATATGTAGTCCAAAATCAATAAATTGGGATTAAAATTGTTTTTTTTTTTTGGCTGGGTATTTTCCAAAAATTATATAATATATATAAGGCAGAAGAACAAAAAAAAAAAAAAATAGAAAAGAAAATATTAGTAAAAAAAACCAAGAAAAAAAATTATTAAAAAAAAATTGGAAAAAGGTGCTTACCGCCTTATCGTGGTGAAATACATAAATTTTAATTAGAAAAAAAGTTAAATAGAAAAAAAGTTAATAAAAAAAAAAATTATTAAAAAAAAATCGGTTTAATGAAAATATCTGTTCAAAGAAACAAATGGGTTAAGGAAAAAATGAAAATGGGTTAATGAAACAAAATTTGAAAAAAAATTTCGGTTTAAAAAAAAAAAAATAATAATGAAAAAAAGCGCGATCGCACTGTCCCAAGAGGATGGGAATGAAAAAATATGATTACTGTAATAAACTAATCTTCGTTATCCGAGCGTAATACAAGAGTTAATAAGTTGAAAATCGCTTTTATTGATGTAAACGGTGATTTACATAACGGAATCCATCTCTTTGATAAATTTTATAGTCTATATTTTTATTGAATTAAGAAATCATTACAATTTAAATTCTATTTAATGCTACTCCCATATCTTTTTCCATCACTTTAACTTAGTCTCTTTATAAAAAAAATCGTAATTCAATTAATTATTGAAAGCAAAAGAAAAACAAATTCATTTTCGTCCGAAATACTAAACATTAAATAGAATCTAAATTAAAAATAATACATTAAAAAAAATAGGAATTAGTTATATGTAGCAAACTAAATGATAAATAAATATCTTGTACCACAGCAGTAGATTGTGATCATATAATTTTATAATTTATAATTCACCATCTTCATTGATATTCAATTGAGAAATATCAATTTGTAAGGTTTCTATTTAACAAAATAAAATTTCGTTAATACTTATAAATCTTAATCCTTTATGAGTATTAAATTAATACCTGAATATTCCATGCTTATAATGTCATTATTTTGTTCGTAATCAGAATGTTTTGGTTCAGGAAGATTACTATCATTAATGTCCAATCGAGAAACATCAATTTGTTGAGATAACGATGCTATTTAATAAATAATCTTTTAGTAGTATTTTTTTTTATGATTATATACTTTTTTATTTAACAATACCTGAAAATTCGACGCTAATTATGTTATCCTTGTATTTATAATAATCATCAGAATTTTTGGCCTTGGGAAGATTATCAAAACTAAGCAATCTACTTGTATAAATTGCTTCGGAATTTTTCGCCTTAGGAAGATTATCAAAACTAAGTAATCTACTTGTATAGATTGCTTCAGAATTTGTTTCATGTAAAAATCCTAAGCTGGTTGAAGACATCCCGTCAGTTGCTAACTTATTTATTTCTTCTGATTCTTTAATCTGTTTTTGTATTTCTGTTACACGATTATCACACCAACTGCGTAAAATTTTGTAAATTTCATATGCTGTTGGTCGTTCTGATGGATTTGCATCTAAGCATCTTTTAATTAAATGTATAATTAATTCGGGTACTTTAATATTAAATCTTGGTCTAAGTCCTTGACAAATTTTTATAGCTAAATTTCCTTCATGACTTAAATCATGATATGGAGATAATTCGGAAATTACTTCATACATAACTATTCCAAAACTATAAATATCTGCAGCTTTGGTATAATTTTTTCCTCGTAAAATTTCAGGAGCTACATAGGGTAAATTACCATATATTTTGTCTCTTGTATTTTCTGATACGAAATAATCCGCAGGTTTACATAATCCTACGTCAGTTATTTTAACATCATTACCCGTATGAAGTATATTTCCAATATGTAAATCTCGATGAATTAATTCATTTCGATGAATAAAACTAAGTCCATATGCAATAATCCATAAATATTTAAATTTATCATACCAATCTAATTTACATTGATTCATATTTAAAAAATTTCTCAAACTTCCATTTTCTGCATAATCCAAAACCATCCCATAATTTTTTGTTTCTGGTTCTTGAGTTATTCCATAAAATTTAATAATTTTATCACTCACATCTACTTTATAGTGCAACATAATCTATAAAAATCAAAATTTAACATATTTAGTAAGATTTAAAATATTCACATTTTTATTAAATGATATACTAATTTACCTCATTCATAAATTCTAATGTAATATTTTTTGAATTATTTAAAATTTTTAGAGCTATAAATCTACTTTTACTAGACCAATATGCTTTATACACCTTGGCAAATCCACCTTTTGCAATATATTCAATATTATCCAATCTATCATAAGGTATCCATTCTAATGCATCTGATATATCGTGCGCTGATAGCTGAGTATCTCGAATAAATTTGTCAATATTATTATTACCACTAGTCCAATTTTTAAAAATTTGTTGAAAATGTATTGTTTTACATTTATAATTACATTTTTTACATATATAATTCAAAACCATCATATAATTTTTTGTTTCCGGTTCTTGAGTTATTCCATAAAGTAATATAGACTATAAATATAATGCATTAGTAAAAATTAATCTTTTGAAACTTCAAAATAGTAAATTTATTATACCTTATTTTCAACTCCTGATGCAATATCTTTCAAATTGCTTAAATGTTTCAGCATCACAAGCACATTTTGATTTCTTTCCCAATTAAAATTTTTATTGTTCCACTTGTGTAGAGGACCATCAATCCAATTTGCAACATATACTTTGCTAATCTCAACATATTCAATACCATAAAATTTATCATAAGGTATCCATTCTAATGCTTTCTTTGCATTATAATGGGCTGATATTTGAGTACTTTGAATAAATTTATCAATATAATCATTACCACTAGTCCAGCATTCAAAATTTTGTTGAAAGTATATTGCTTCACATGTTTTGTTACATATTTTACACTCACCACTCAGTACCATCATATAATATTCTGTCTTTGGGTATTGAGTTATACACTAAAGTCTATTGTTCTACAAATACAAATATATTAGCAAAATTGAGGATTCAAATTTTCCTAAATTAATAATTTAAAATACCTTATTCATCAATTCTGATGTAATATTTTTTGGATCACTTAAGCCTTTTAAATCTACCAACTTTCTTATCCCATTTCGATTTGTACTATCCCCTCCATCAATCCAAAATGCATTATATATTCCAATTTCTTAAATATATTTAATATTATAAAAGCTATCATAAGGTATCCATTTTAACGCTTCTTTTGCATCATCATGGGCTGATATTTGTGTATTTTGAATAAATTTATCAATATAATCATTACCACTAGTCCAACTTCCAAAATTTTGTTGGAAATGTATTGCATTACATATGTAATTACATTTTTTACATTTATTACTCAACACCATCATATAATTTTTGGTTTGTGGCTCTTGAGTTATTCCATAAATTTTATGTAACATAAACTACAAATATAATACATTAGTAGAAATTAATCTTTTGAAACTTCAAAATAGTAAATTTATTATACCTCATTCTCAACTTCTGATGCAATATTTTTCAAATCGCTTAAATGTTTCAGCATCACAAGCACATTTTGATTTCTTTCCCAATTAAAATTTTTATTGTTCCACTCGCGTAGAGGACCATCAATCCAATTTGCATATACTTTTCCAATATCAATATATTCAATATCATAAAATTTATTATAAGGTATCCATTCTATAAGTGGTTTTTTATATGCATCATATTTGTGTGTTGATAATTGAATATTTTGAATAAATTTATCAATATAATCATTACCACTAGTCCAACTTTCAAAATTTTGTTTAAAGTGTATTACACTACACATGAGATTACATTTTTTACATTTATCATTCAATACCATCATATAATTTTTTGTTTGTGGATTTTGAGTGATTCCATATAATTCGTAATCTGTTTTAATCTAAAAATACAACAAATTAGTAAATTTAGTAAAAATTAAAATTTCAAAATTTTATTAAATAATACCTCATTTATAACCTCTAATATAAAACTTTTTGGATTACTCAAACTTTTGAGAGCGATAATCATATTTTTATTAAATCTTTTCCAATTTTGATTTTCATTATCCCAACTGTCAATACATCCATCAGTCCAATTTGCTCTATATACTCCAGTTTTTTTGCCATATTTAATGTCATAAAATCTATTATAAGGTATCCACTCTAATGCTTTTTCTGGATCTTCATGGGCTGATAGTTGAGTATCTTGAATATATTTATCAATATATTCATTACCACTGGTCCAATTTTTGAAATTTTGTTGAAAATATATTGTGTTACACTTAAATTTACATTTTTTGCAATTCTTATTTAGTTTTAATTTCTTAATTAGCGTATCCATGAGACTTTTCATAGAAAATGATACAGACTTAAGATGCTAAAGCTGAAATAAAGTTGGTTAATTAAACAAATAACTTGCAGAAAAAAAATATTTCGGCCAAAATTATATCCGGCTCTAAGAATTGAGTAATAATGGCTTTATTTCTGAGCTGTATTGAATTTTTTTTTAATTGGATATTATTATAAATTTATATTGGTACTAGTCTATTTGTTACCACAATATAATTTTTATTTTTATTTTTGATATAATGACGGAATATAAGAATATAAAGAAAGAATCATCAAACCATTAATCGCCAAAATAACCGTGTAAACAATTAATGCATTCAGTAAATTATTACTACGTGTAACAAAATCACACGCTAATCACATGAATCACATGTTTCAAGCATTATACTATATATCACGTGACACCCATTATAAAGACGACCTAAGCTGAAAAGAGTAATTAAACGTTAGTATAAAGAATCTTCGATACAATGTATTAAAAAATCAAATAGTAATAGATTTTCAAAAAAAAAAATAAATAAATAATTGCAAAAACTTTTCATTATATTTGATACTTAGAAAATGAAATGATTTAAACTTGTATTATGAATTCTGTGATTTTATTCTTGCGGATTTGAATAATAATTATAAAAAAAAGAAAAAGAATATACTGTACTATTCGTTGTACTTTAAAAAATTAATATTGGTGAACATCCAAAGTCAATTATTTTAAATCGCAATAAACTAGTTTAATATTTTATACAAATAAATAATTTGATAAGGCAACATTAAAACTTACTAACGAGACTTTTTCTCTTGCAAACTTCCAATGATTAAATTTTAAAAAAAATGTACACTTTTAATTCCATGATCGAAAGATATAATGCTTCATGTTCTACTTTTTTTTCATTTCAATTTTGAAAAATTGTTAAAATCTGAAGAAAACTTGCTAACTTCGGGATATATATTTCCACATTTTTATTTTGTGAAATGAAATTTGATCTTTTGACCTTTTTAAAAAATATATTTTTTAAAAATCTGAACCTTGTTAATAACCGTTTTAGCCATACACTAATAAAATAATAAAGAATTATGATAATAAAAATTTCCGTAAATATGACTGAAAGATAATTGTGAGGCATATTATAAAAAGGTTCGTTGGCAAATACTATAAAGGTTTATTACTAGCGGTTTAGTGAATAGGTAATGTTAGATTTTTACGGCATCGCATGATTATGTGTTACATGATTTTTTTTTACCTAAAAATTTTACAAGTACTTATTACACTCTTTTTTTTTTCCTTATTAGTAAAATTAAAAGACATTAATATTCAAAACAGTAGCAAAGTTACAAAGCGATTAACTTAATAATTTTAATAATTGTAAAAATCTTGAATAAAATTTATTTTGATGAAAAAAAAAAATTCATATCTGATATCACTAAAAAAAGATATTAAATAAAATTAAAAAAATTGAGAAAAAATTATTAAGAATTCCATGTAATATGGCAAAAAAAAATTTTGCTGTTCACGCAGCAATAAAAATGAGTTACACAATATAAATAAATAAAATTTCAAATTTTGGACTATAGGTGACAGTCACCATACATTTCCCTTTTTGGTATAAAGAGATATGTAGATCACTAGCTAAAATATACAGTATGTTGCAGTTGTCGGCTTGTCGCACCTACTATCACCCCCAAAAATGATTTGATTGATGCATCTGTGTGTACAAGTGTTGTTTGCGCCAATAACGACTTCTATTTAACCTACTCCGATTTTCACTTCTTTCTAGTGAACCAATTTTTTCTACATTCGAATAACTACTATGGCAGACGCTAAGTAAAGAACATATAAAATCTGTTACTGGAAATTCCATTTTTTAATACTTTTCAACTTCCTCTCTTTAGATCTAAACCGCCACTGTTGCAAATCAATGCACCAGCCATACTCTTAGTTGGAAAAACGGGTATGCCTTGATATCATATTTTTATTTTCGGTCATCTCTTTTTTTCATTGTACATTTGTTTGAAAGGCGCTGGCAAAAGCACTTTGGGAAATTTATTGTTGAAAACTTCTGAAGATGAAAAACCAACTTTCCATGCTTCCGATAGCCTTGTAAGCAAAAAATATAAGTATATAAGTAGGGTATTTTCAACTATACTTGTTTTTAACTTTCAATAGTGATTACTAGTTATCCGTTACTAAAAAATCTAGTTTTGCGAGTTACAAATTGGGGACAAAATTTATAATATTATCGACACGCCAGGGATTTTTAACACTAACGATCCCACTGAAGATATCTTAGAAGAAATCGCTCGCACCATCCAAAAGTGCACTTATGGAATCAGAGCCATATTATTCGTATTTGGTGAGTGAGAATACTGATGATTAAAGTTTAAATTAGAAATATATTGTTAAAATTCTGTTTACAGAAGCCAGCCGATGGTTCACGGATGAACAAAAGAATACGCTCAACATAATAAAAACGTTTCTCGGAGAGGAGTCTCTTCAATACATGATTTTTGTCTTTTCACATTGTAACAAGAAGCAGACTGAGGATCCAGAATATTTTAAAAATTCTTGCTGGAATGAACCAATTAAGGCTTTCATCAATTCCCTTGATAATCGGTGGGCCATTTCTCCAGATGCGAGATACTTTCAACCCGATAATCTCGTGTATAAACAACGCCTCAAAGAATTGAAAAAACATATCAGCTATCATATAAATGGAGTGTATACAAATGACCTTTTCGAAAAGGCTTGGAAAAAGCAAAAAGAAAATGAAAGAAAAGAGAGAGAAGCAGAAGAGAAACGAAGAAAAGTCATACTCTTAGTTGGAAAAACAGGTACGCCTTGATATCGTATTTTTATTTTCAGTTATCTCTTTTTTTATTGTATATTTGTTTGTAAGGCGCTGGTAAAAGCACTTTGGGAAATTTATTGTTGAAAACCTCTGAAGATGAAAAACCAACTTTTCCTGTTTCTGAAAGTTTTGTAAGTAAAAATATATGTATATGAATATGGTATTTTCAATTATATTTGTTTTTAACTCTCAAAAGTGATTAGTCATTCGCTACTCAAAAATCTGCTTCTGCAAGTTACAAAATTGGGGACGAAATTTACAATATCATTGATACGCCAGGGATTTTTAACACTGATGATCCCAACAAAGATATCTTAGAAGAAATCGCTCGCACCATCCAAAAGTACGTTTATGGAATCAGGGCCATATTATTAGTATTTGGTGAGTAAGAATACTGATCATTAAAGTTTGTGATGAGACTAAATTAGAAACATATTGTTAAAATGCTTTTACAGAAGCCAGATTGTTCACGAATGAACAAATAAATAATACGCTCAACGGAATAACAACATTTCTCGGAGAAGAGTCTCTTCAATACATGATTTCTGTCTTTTCAAATTGTAACAGGAAGCAGACTAAGGATCCAGAATATTTCAAAAATTCTTGCTGGAATGAACCAATAAAGGCTTTCATCAATTCCCTTGATAATCGGTGGGCCATTTCTCCGAATACGGAAGACTTTCCACCTGGTAATCTCGTGCATGAAAAATGCCTCAAAGAATTGGAAAAACATATCACCAATATAGATGGAGTATTTACAAATTATCTTTTCAAGAAGGCTCGGAAAATGCAAGAAGAAACTGCAAGAAAGGCGAAAGAAGACGAAGAGAGATTACAAAGAGAATATGAAGAAGAATTAATAAGTAAAGCTGAAATCATCGCAAAAGAGCGCTACGAGAAGCAGAAGAAAGAATATGAAAAAAGAATTCTTGAGTAAAAAAAAAGGAAATTACGAGTATTAAAGCGAATTTCATGAGAAAGATCTTCAACTAGTGACATTTCGCCAAAATATTTAACGTATTAGGATTAAGAATTTGAGAAATCTGAAAGTATGATTCAAACAATGATTTTAAATGTCTAAGACTCTTGTCAGGACTTAGGATCGTGAATATTACCTATTATTTTGTCTGATCTTAATATTTGGAAATGACTGACACATTATCCAATTAACTATCCACTTAAATAAAATAATAAAATCATTAAAATCTTTTCAACATAATAAGTCTGATTTAATATTAATAATTCATTATCTGTTATAGTAAAACACTTTTAAATTAAAAATTTTATCGGGAGATTAAAGTGATTGTAAAACTTATTTTAATGCAATCATATAATGCTAAACTTAATCGAATTATCCTATCACTCAATATAAAATTATAGTAAAAACAAAGAGAAGAAATATATAAATGTTGAGAAAAACTTTAACATAGTTTAAATAAATAAAACAAAAAGATAGAAAACTACTAATTTAATAAGTTGAATAATCTTTGATTTGCCTGTAATATGAGATAATATGAATTAACTATTAAAATTATTTTTTAAAATAAATTAAAATATATACGTAACAACATTATCTTTAATTGCCAATTGAGAAATATCGATTTGTAAAGATTCTATTTAATGTAATAAGATATATTAGTATTTTTTACATTTGATTCATACAAAATTATTATAGTATTTACCTGAATCATATTATCATTTTGTTCGTCATAATAATCATCTGAATTTTTTGGCTCTGGAAGATTATTAAAATTAAGTAATCTACTTGTATAAACAGCTTCGGAATGTGTTTAGTATGATAAACTAGTTGATGGAACACTGTTAGTTGGTAGATTTCTTCTGCTTCTTCAATTTGTTTTAGTATTTCTGGTACCAAAAGAACCCATCGATATAAAACAACTTGAACTTCTTTTGCCGTAGGTCGATTTAATGGATTTGCATCCAAGCATCTTTTAATTAAACTCACAATTAATTGAGGTATTTTAATATTACCAGTTACTGAATCTTGCCTAAGTCCTTGACAAATTTTTATTACTAAATTTTTATCATGGCTTACATCATGGTATGGAGGTAGTCCAGAAATTACTTCATACATAATTATACCGAACTATAAATATCAGCAACTTTAGGATAATTTTGTTCTCTTAAAACTTCAGGAGCAATATAAGGTAAAACACCGTATATACTGTTTTTTGTGTTTTTCGATGTATTATAATCTGCAGGTTCACATAATCCCATACCGGTTATAGAAGTAAAACCATTTATAGAACTATCACTTGAAAAATGAAGTAGATTTCCAATATGTAAATCTCGATGAATTAGTTCTTTTTCATGAATACTCTTAAGTCCTAGTGTAATATGCCATAAATATGATATCTTAATATACCAAGTTAATTCATAATGATTTTTATCCAAATAAGTTCTTAAACTTCCATTCTCTGCATAATTCAGAACCATCATGTAATTTTTTGTTTCTGGGTCTTGTGTAATTCCATAAACTCTAAAAACGGAAATTGAGCCATCCATAATAGTCTTACAGTGCATTGTTATCTATATACATTTAAAAAATCAGTTAGTAAAAATCGTATTTAAAAATTTCATTAAATTAAGAAATTAGGTAATACCTCATTGATAAATTCTAATGTAATATTTTCAGAATTTTAAACTTTTCAGAGCTACAAACTTATTGGAAGCATATCGTTTCCAATTTTCATTTTTATTATCCCAATACTATATATGTCCATCAATCCATTTTGCTCTATAACTTTTCCAAAACCACCTTTTGCAATATATTCAATATCATATAATTTATTGTAAGGTATCCACTCTAATACTTGATCATAAAAATTCGCTGATAGTTGTTTGTCTTGAAAAATTTTGTCAATGTCGTTATTACCACTAGTCCAATTTTTAAAATTTTGTTGGAAATGTTTTACATTACATGCTTTACAGTATTCATTTCCGGTATATTTTCGTTTACAATATTTGCATTCCCCATAATCCATAGTTCAATAGATAAATTTAAGAAACTTTATAGTTAACAAAAATGTGCAACTCAACAGCAGCAGAAAAAGCTGAATGTCACAAAAAAATTTTTCGTTTTCCGATTTACGCATGCACGACATAAGTGTAACATAGATCGACAAAATAATACTACGTCAAATGTTCAAAAAGTTTTTTATTTGATAATTTAGTATTTCTGATTTTAGAGATTCTAAATAATAAATTAATTCTACAATGTGAATACAAACTTCTTTTTTGATATATGAACTAAACATGGATTTGTTAATGTTATTTAGTTAAACCAGCTTTTATTCAAGCTGCATTAGTATAAATTCTGCTTCTTATTCTGTATAATAAAATAAATTCTACTTTAGAATTTAATTTACGCACGTTTTATTTAAAAAGAACCTGAGCTAATTCAACAGTTTAACCATGAATAAAATTAACTCTTTCTGTAATCTTGTTCACATGGATTATAAAAAAAAACCATGAATAAAATTAACATCCTCAGCAATTGTTCACGTAAAACAAGATACGTCAATGTGAATTACATAGTTGTTAATAGCAACTTTTAGTAAAAATTTAATAAAAAATTTTCATTTTGTAACTTTTTAACTGTTGTTTTAATACATCGAAGTGATCAAACCCTCCATAGTTATAGCATATTTATTAAAACTGAGCCTTTGCAATAACACTAGACTTTTTTTATCTTCCGAAGTGTTAAATTTTTCATATGGCTCGATTGGCTCTATTAATTTTAAAGAATCAAATTTGTGTGATTGGTAATTATAACTAAATTTAATTACTTTTCATTCTTTTCTTCAAATTTAAAAGTTACAAGCAATTCCTGTATCAAATTAGTGTATCAGGTGACTTTTCGATCAATTATATAAAAAATACCAGAAAGCAACTAAAATCAAATTAAGTATAATATAAATTTATCTCACACATTAATTAAAAAATAAATTTATTAGGGAAGAACAACAAATTATATAAAAAATTATTAGATTATAATAAAAGGTAAATTATTCCTTTAAAAAAAAAACTTTCCTTTATATTAAACACTAAAATATTTAGAAACAAGAATGTATGAGCAATTAGTGAAGTTAAATTAGAATTAATTGTTATAAAAAATTGCAAATTTACCAAAAAGTTTAAATAAAAAGATAAATCCTCTCTTCATAATAAACCAAAAGTATCAAAAATAAACTTCTATAACAAAACTTACGGTAGAAACGTTAAAATCGGTTGAAATCGAAATAGGAACCTAAAGAAATCTTTCATATGAAATACTCTCTAAAAAAATAGTCTTCAAATAATGACGTCGTGAAAACTTTTATGTCGTACTAATCGACAAATCACCCAATCTCTCATTCTCACTAATTCGATAATTTTCTCGATTTTATCTTTAATCAAGAACAAGAGTATTTATAAATCTGCTTAGCAGTACTTCAAATAATCAAATTTTGACAAGTTTCTTCAGACAAAATTCAAAGAATCCCTGTTTGATATTGCCGAGCCAATAATTGATTCTTTTACTCCAACTTATTATTACATAAATAACATAAATATTCAGTTTGGCTTATAAAACCTATAATAAATAAATAATTAAATAATGACTTATAAGTTCTATGTAGTCATTTAAACAATGAAATTTATATTTTAAGGGTTTAACTTTTCTGTTTTAAGGTAATAAACTTACCATAAAAAATATTTTCATTATCTTGTTAAAAAGGTCTCTTATTAAGCCTCTTCATTTATTTTTCGTAATTAGCTGTATCAACTGGATGAGATAACTGAATCTGGCGCTCGAGACACTAAAATTTCAGAAAAACTCGTGAATTAGTGAGGTATGATGTCGTATATATAACGTAACTGATGCATACTAAGAAGCTAAGGAATTTATATGCTACGGATTATAATTTAATATATATATGATCTGCAAAATGGTAAAATTCCTAAAATCTTAACGTTAAGGGATATTTAATTACGTCATTATTGCTTCATCAACTTCTATAGGAAAAAACACACGCATATTCAGGTTTCACAACGTAGTTATCAGAATCTATAAAAGATCGAAAGATATTTTTTTTTGCTTGATTTGTTTTTATATATTGAATTTATCTCTTATCACCGTTGAAAAAATTGTTCATCAATAAATAATAACAAAAAAAAATAAAGAAAATGTCAACAGGGAACTCGCAAGTTAAAGGTATTAGAAGTGTTTTTTGTATTTTAATAATTTATCTTATCATTTCTTAACTACTTCCAGCTAAGACTCCAGCTAAGACTTCAGCTAAAACTCCAGCCAAAATACCAGCCAAAACTCCAGCTGAAGTCTGGGTCTTATCGATGTTTTTTTCTCCATATAAAGCTGTTGAATATTCAATTGAATGTCGCTGCTTTGTCTCCAAGAAACTAGCTCAAGAAGCAATGAGAAGAGAAGCACGACGAATATACAAAAATTCAGATTGTATTCAAAAAGCTAGAAACAAATACTATAGGGAGCACGAAACGGAAATACACTTTAGCGAAAGCGAAAATGGACCTGATTATAATAGAAAGTTTAGTTATTGTGAAATTAAATCTGCAAAATTGGAAGACAAAGAAAGTGGAGATGAAGTACCTTCAAGTACAGATGAAGATAGCGATGAATATTGAATAAGGTATTAATGAACATTTGCCTGTTCACTCTCTTATGCCTTGATTTATAATTAATTGTAAATTTGGTTTCTTTTTAGCTTATATACGTAAAATTTTACAGCATAGTTGCTAAAGTTGCTCATCAGTTACGCAATACTCACATTTACAGTATATAACAAAGCACTAAAGAAAAATATTGTAATGATAAATTTCTTATTAAAATAAAGTTCACTCAATTGTAAACCACCGGTTAATATAATCACATATTCAATTACAAATTTCAAAACAATGAGACAATTAATATGAAAAACAAATAAAATATATGTATAAACATCTTTGACTTTAATTCTAAAATTTATTTTCCCAAATTCATATCATTAGACTTCATGATAGTCTTTTAATAATTCTATACATAGTATGATGCTTAAGTATCAACGACAATAATGAATAGTGTTTCAGAATTCTGTCCCGGTAATCTTTTTTTTTTTTTTATCAAATATACAAAAATTATATATACCAGTAACATAATTTTTTTATTAATGCGTAATTAGGGATTACATCAATTAAACCCTTCATTATATCGCATCATAAGATTATTAATATTCCTTTTCTACAAGATTTATGTCAGCTTAAACGATCGTAAAAACTATTGGAAGCAAGCAATGATAGAAGATCATTACAAATATTACACGTCATTTTTGTAACAGATTTTGAGAAATTTTTGTATTCACTCATTTAGATCTTGATTAAACTAACGGTCTTCAAGACTTTTTTTTTATTTGGGCTTTTGTCAACCTACGAAAATAATTTTGATTATTCAAAGCTGTGCCGCTGTGGTATAGCAACATACTTCAGAAAATTTTTTATACAATTTATTATTAAAAAATAAGGTAGTGTAATTTATTAATTATTACATGTAATACGTGTAAAAAAAAAAATTACATAATAAAATAAATAAAATAGAATAAAATAAATACAATAGAATAAATAAAGTAGAATAATAAATTTTAGCAATTACGAAACCATAAGTTATATAAAAAAAATGCTGTATTTCACTTCGAAAAATTAAATATATATATTTAATCGAGTATATCGAAATTTTAATGCAATCATTTAACGATAAATTAATGAATGTAAGGTATAACGATTATGATATCGTCCACTAAAACAATTCTAAGTCAAATCGTTTGCGGTATAACGACTTTATCGCTACTCCGTAAATTTTGATTTGATCGTTCAAACTTGTTACATAATCATTAGCTTTATTTGGATCGTTCAAACTGTTACTATTATTTGTTTTATTTGGAATTTGATCGTTCGAACTGCTACTTGCTTCATTATTTGGGTTCAAATCGCTACGATTAATTGCTTTATTTGGAATTTTCCGCGCCGAGGTATCACATGGCCACGGTTTAATGGGGATGGCAAAAGGCATTACTTGTATTATTCGCGAGGTCAAATTTTAAGAAGAAATTACAAAAGGTTTGTGTTTAAAGAAAAATAAAATTGACAAGAGATGCTTTTTTTGAAAAAGAAATTACAAAAAGTTTTGTAAATAAGAGGTTTTTTCTTTTAATTATTTATATTTTATTCATTTCATGGCAAGAATTTCTGTATGGAATAAATTTCTGAGCTGAATTCTTCATAGAATAATAATGTTGCATACAGTCACTAGTGTAGCAGTAAATAAACCGAATTTTCAGACCTTTTTAGTAAAAGACAACAAATAATAATAATAATAATAATAAATTTTTTTTTTTTCGTAGAATAGCGTTGATAACTGATAAGCATCACTTTCAACCATTTCCTTTTTGAATGATTCTCGAATTACGTAACACTTTTGCTTTGTTAATTTTTCCATTTCAGATAATCGCAGTCACATGTATCCTGAACTATAATTTGTGTTTTAGAAATATGCCAAAACAATTGTTACACAAAATCATTGACTTCGAATGAACGTTGCAATGAACTCAAAATAATTGTTTAAAAAGAACAATGAAAAGATTTCCTATTCTCAAATCAAAAATTTAAGAAAATATCAGTATTATTCGTCTAGTGATGTAAGTCCATGTACAGTATGTTATCTTAAGCAATAGCGCCATTTCTTTCATCTTCAAAAATAAGTCAATAAAAAAAAAGATAACCTCTCGAAAAAAATCATAAACCAAAATCGTTTTTAATTTAGCTGAAAATATTTGCCAAAAAAAATACGACGTACTTACAAATTTGAAAGTCATGTTTAATAGTTAAAAAATGTTTTAAGTAACCATATGAAATTATTATGTCACAATCTTTATAATTACAAGTAAATGTCAAAAAATACTAATTTGTTGCACGTTAACAAAGCGTTAATTTGATTATGACTATAATAATTTTCTTTGAACATTATTTCTTGCAATTGTAAGATTTTGTTAGAACATCATTTTTTTTATATACTAGTATACTAAACAAAATATGGAACATCTGTACATTATCAAAGAAAATTTATTCCAAGGTAAAGTAATATGCTTTATAAATTTCAGACAGTATGAATATTGGAAGTGAATATTATATGTTATTTTGTCCCATTTAATGTTATTCGAATTTCAAACTTTATATTCATGTTAATAAAATATATCAAATACTTAAATAGCCGGATAACGCCAAATGTCACCGGACTCCACAACTATTCGTCTCATCGACATACAAAGCATGCTTTTAAAAGTTACTACGTGTGTCACATGAACTAAATTGTGCGCTAATGTCGTATGTCGCATTATGGCCTATGAAGTAAAAACAATTAGAATGTTTGAGTATCAGGTAAGATTAGCTTGCGCCTATAAAATGAATTTAATGACGGAAGCTATGGAATATATCACGTATGTCTTCGTGTTGCATAATGTCTGATATTCTGTAATAACAAAAAGGAAGTAATTTTAATTTTTCAATTTTTTAATAGAAGGAACAAATATTTGTATCAAAAATTGCTTATCTGCAACATGAAATTCTGAAAAAAAATCAAAAAAATTTTATTTTTTACTCTTTTTTTCATTTCATTTTTGAAAAAATGTTAAAATCTGAAGAAAGTTTGCAATCTTCGCGATATATCTTTCCACATTCTTTATTTTAATGAAATGAAATTGGATCTTTTTCATAAAAAAAGAACTTCAAAAATATTTTTATAACCGTTTTTACCGTAAATATAACTAAAAGATAATTGTGAAGCATATTATAAAAAGGCTCGTCGGCAAATATAAAGGTTATTGTTTAGTGATTAGGTAATGTTAGATTTTTTACAACATCGCATGATTATGTGTTACATGATTTTTTTTTTTTACCTATCTTATTATATTCTTTTTTTTTCTTATTAGTAAAAATTATTTTTTTCTTTTTTTTTTTTTTTTTTTTTTCATTCATTGATCTTATTTTATCAATATTGAAATAACGCAACAAATATTCAAAACAGTATCAAAATTACAAAGCGATTAACTTAATAATTGTAGGATTCAAAATCCAAAATCCAAATCTTAAATATATTTTGGTTTACGTGAAGAAAATTTAATTCTTTTTTTTTTAAAAAAAAAATTTCTTAATTTATTTTGATGAAAAAAAAATCATATCACTAAAAATAAAATTAAAAAATTGAGGAAAAAATTATTGAGATCTTTTTTTGGTAGCGTTAATTTTAACCTTTCAATCAAAAATAAATTTTTTAAAATATATCCGAAAATTAAAATTATTTCTTTCATTCATCGCTCCTCTATAATACCAAAGAAAATGAACCGTCTGGAGCAAGGCGTCGGAGTAATTTTGTTTATCTCCAGTAAATGACCTTACTCTACATCTAGTTATTTTTTCTTTGAACCCTGAAATATATTTATGTAACCAGTAATTTTCACGGTATATGAAATTTTAAGTTCCGGATTTTCTTTGTTTCGTTAGTTATTATAATTCATATTTTCAAATAAATCAGCCATAACTAAAATCAGGAAAAATCAATTGAATTGATCGGCATCTGCCTTATTTTGAATTCGGCGCATATTGCAAGTAAGAAAAGATTTTCCTTTGCAATATTGTTTGCTTATTATTATCATTTATTACAAGTGGTTCTGAAGTCATTATAATTCTATAATGAAAATACAAATATTAGATTAAACTCTTAAAAAAACAAAGTAATACTTTATTTTTTATAAACTAATATTATAAATAGTCTTTTTTTCCTAATTAAGTTATTGTAAAAAAAATGTTCACAATACGGTAATACTTATTACACGAAACAATAAACATCGATTTTTTTATAGTAGTTCTTTAATAAATAAAGCATATTATAAATGTCCTTTTCTTCTAAATTCTAATTACTATGTACTTATAAATGTTTTCTTTAATAACAAAGAATAATTTTTAAAACGTACATATAATAAAAAATGCGTATTACTAACAAAACCTCTAGTTCTATTTGTGTTAACTGTGATATAATCAAATTTTTATCTCTTTAATTATGAGTTGGTGGTGGTACAAAGGAAGAATAATCAGAGATCAATCAACACTATAATTTCGCTTATATTATTGTTCATAAATAACCTTCGTATATGTTTTGCATTTTCTTACATATTTCTCAATTCTCAATATATGTGCTATCCATAACTTGTGAATTTCTTCATAACAAAAAAATTAATGCTTTCTAATATAAATTGATCATAATTATAGAATCTTTTCTGAGGAACAATATATTATATATATGCAAACATCATTTCATTTATCACACCACAATTACAATTCATTTGTAACATTCTAAGAGATATTGTATTCTTTTTTAGAAGTTATTGTACAGTGTAGAACATTTATTTCTCCATAATGCAATGAAAGTAAATGATATTGATTTTGTACTACTGTGAAATAATTCATTTATTGCAAATTATAACACATGGAATAAGGTTACATTTAGTAAAATCATGATCAGTAATAACATACCTCCACTAGGGGCCTGGTTCATTTCACCAACAATCATTTCACTGACATGAAAATTAATATTGAATATGAGATATTTTATTATAAAAACTTTTTATTTAAATATTTAGTTTAGATCTAATGATAGAATAACATATAGTTATATCTATTGTATTATTTTTATTTTTTTATATATGTTATTATAAATTGAAATAATTAAAACTAACAAATATATATATATATATACAAACTTTTTAGTAAACTATTGTTGAAAAGTATGTGCTATTTCCCTAAGGAAATCTAGTTTTTTTTTTGTATTTTATCAAATCTAACAAAGAA